AATGTATTTTTTATATATTTTTTATATTATAAAATGAAGTAGGTAGAATTAGTGGTTTTTGACTGAATTGTACCGAATTGGGTGATCCGTCGTAGGGGGTGATCCGTCGTGTGGGGTGGTGTCTTACTGTGGACGGGTAGGGAGTATGGGCACCTCTCCACTGGGCTAAGTGTCCTTCTACGTATGTATTGAAGTGCTGAGGCGGCGGGCTGCACTGTGGCCCGTCGAGAGATGTGGGCCGGGGTTTGTCAAGGGACTTGAAAGGACGGGACCCTTGGCCAGCCGCCAAAGACGACGCAATCACGCACTCAGAACTCTCTGGAAGGCAAGGTACCTTACCTCCGAATCTCGTGGCTCAAGGTACTTACAAGTAGGTAATGGTAAGGTACCTTAGGTGCCGAGGACTGCTTGTGGCTCCTTGTCCTATCCGTACTCAAATGATTAGCGGTCCTTCCAGTGGGGACGAACAGGTGGCATTCCTGCAATCCCCTCCCCCCAATTCGCTTGAGGCCTGGGCTGTTTGAGAAGTCCCAAGTTAGCGGCTTACGGACATGAGTTCCCAGCGGTGGTGGGGGCGGATAATGGGGAAAGGGACATGACTGCCAGTCTTAATTACTGGAGAGACCTGGGAGAGTCATGTTCGTGGCTCGGCCACCCACCACCTGTGGTAATCAATTCGTCCCCTTGGAGTCTTGAAGTCCTGCTCCTCCGCTGGCCGAGGACATGAACCGTGCAGGGTACTTCCACTCCTCCGACTCGACGTTCCGCCCGGCTCCCAGCGGCCCCACTCAAACACTTTGTGCGAGCTCACGGTCGCGACAGGTACCTCTTTTTTCCCCCATATTGCAGAACTCCGAAGTACGAAGCTCGATTGGAATCCCGATTCTGGCGCAGCGCAGAGAGCTCTGGTGTAGACTGCCACGACCATGCTCGCTACGCGTTGCAATCGCATTATCGTTAGTCGCGTACCATCAAGCAAGTTTCAGTAGCGGGCAGCAAACGATACAGCTTTTACCCATGCCGAACGATCGAACCCTTTGCGACGTCTTTCGACCCTGACCACCCCCCAGCTTGCGATGCCGATTTGTATCGAGTGCCGCCATCCGGTCAAGACCCTATGGACCAAATACTCCAACGCTGACGACAAGTCGAGCGGCCACAACATCCGCCTGACCGTTTGCAGAAATTGCGGCCACTTTTGCGACAAATACGTCGAGCACGACTTCGTGGTGCTGTTCATCGATCTCGTCCTGATCAAACCCCAGGTCTATCGTCATCTATTGCACAATACCTTGATGAAGGATGACGACCGTTTTGATGTAAGTCGTGGGGGAATTTGTGCTAGTACTATCTGCAAGACCCTCGCTGACGTTATTTCCTACGTAGTCATCCATCGTACGACTCGGCATCCTTTTGCTTCTATTCGACGTCTACTTGACATGGGCGCGCATTGAGAAGCAGACGGTGCCCATCTCTGCTCGGGGCGAGGGCGCCAACCTGGGCAGCTTGGCACAGCAGTCTATCGTGTCCCAATATTTCTTCTTCCGTATGTATCATGAAGCATGCTGAGGGCTGACTCAGATGGAAGAAACTAATGTTCCGGCAGTCATCCTGTGCGCTTTGTCGACATTTGCCTTTCATATGAGCATTCGCTTCCTGACTTCGTCCAAGTTCTCCCCGCTCAACTTTTTCAACATCTTGCCCCGATATTCGCGTCCGAATTCCGTCTCGACCGCACTCCTCGTCTCGTCTTCGACCAAGCTATTTCCGATACTCATGGTCATATGGCAGTACGATGTCCCAGCTGCGGCTCGGTCGCTGGGCTGGGCCGTCGTAGCAAACAACGTCGAGGCCCTTCGTATTCTGCTGGATTGCGGCTACGGCGTTGCCACTTTGCTTGCCACGCTGGGAGCTCTAGCCCGGTGGACAGTGGGACGTAGTGTTCTCTGGGCTGCCGGGCTAGATGGGGTGGATTCCATCGGAGAGACGAGCATTGCTGCAGATGGCAAAGCCCTCTGGGCTCTGTTGATGTACGTGAGGGAGTGGGCAAGCGATCTAGCCGCAGGGTAACAGGCAGTATATAGCTGTAGAAGCCAGGCAAAGGAAATGCATGTGTAATATGTACCAGCCGGCATTGCGTGAATTGGTGTTGCATAACTAGCCGTCTTGCCATTTCAGGTGCCTACCCAGTCCATCCATGATCCCCATCGCCACCGGACTAGTATCATCTGTCGGCATCTTGAGCTACAGATGCGAGGCGGCACTCTTCAACAGCCAGTCACGCGCCGTTCGTTCTATATGACAGAACCCTAACAAGCCCCTTAACGCCGTCCTTATGAAGTTGCAGTTGTGTAAAATCGATAATAGTACATCGCACCCATGGCGTTGCATCTCGCTCTCTTTCGCCCTTCCACCGTCACCTCGAATAACAGGTCGTCAATGGTGCACGGCGCTCTCTCGGAGGTTGCTGCGTTTGGGTTCGATCAAGGGGTGAAGTTGGGCGAGGAACGTGATGGCCCACATGAGATAGCAGCATGCGAGGGCAAGGAGGAGGGAGGATCTCCAGATGCTGTAGATGATGGTCAGCTGTGTGTCTCTGTCGCAGTGACGCATGGAATAGTAGTTCTCCGATTGCGGCATTTTGCTTCGAGTAGAGGGACAACATACATCTGCGTGTCGCCCTTGGGAGACAAGAACCATGCGCCAGCGCCCATCGCGACGACGATGACGAGGCCGACGAAGATGCTGTACCTATTGTTCTCTCACGTCAACACACATCGATCGCCAGAGTACGCTCGTCTATGGGAGGGGGAACACACCCTTGCGCCATTTTTGCTGCTTGATTCGGAAGAGGGTGTGATTTTGGTGGATGTGCAGGTATGTCGGGTTTCGCGTTGATGTCGTCGTGCTGCTTCGTCGATTGCTTCTGTCGTCGTTGGGAAGGCTGAGCTAGGTAGGAGGTCCTGGACGTCAGTTGTGGGTGCAGCTGTCGGCGCAGTGCACCAGCCGGCAGCTCGACCGTTGCTGGTGCTTAGTCATTCCCGTCTCTCCACCTGGTCTTCCAGCCTGCAAGAACCAATGCAAGTATTTTGTTAGTCAATTTTCATGTCACTAGTACTATATCCTATAACTCGAGGTTTGAGTAATATACGTCTTTCACTTCACGTCATGCAACTAAATCAGACTCAATATTCTTGTATCATTTTTTCATTTTACATGATGTTGTGCATTAGTCTTTGATCTGATGCCCTTTGAGCCATGTCTCTAGCATCTAGGGCCCTTGCTCAAGAGTCGTTCTCGTACTTGAGGCCAGCTTCCTTTCTTACGGCGCCGTAGATGCCGGCCATATCACCTGATGGTCCTACGTGCTCCTTGACAATCTGTAGGTGCCTATCGGCGTTTTCAATATTTGGCAGCCGTGTCCCTGCGGCTTTGGCAATGGCCATGGCGTGCCCGGCGTCTTTCCTTGCCAAATCAACGGCGAAGAGCGGTTCCTCCCTCTTGTAATAGTCACCCTCCAACATGCGCACCGAGTACGCAGGGTAAGGGCTGCCACCGAACATGGCGTCGACAAACTGCTTCACGTAGCCGGTCCCGAGCCCGCTCTTCTCGGCAGCCACATAGGTCTCAGCGAGCTGCTCGACCATGCCCAGGATGACGGTGTTACCCAGCACCTTCAACGTCGACGCCTTGTGGTACGGCTCGTCAGCCATGTTGATCTCGCGAGCCGCCATGGCATCGATATAGGGCCGGATCTTCTCGATCGAGGCCTTGGGCCCGGCAAGCACCAAGGTAGCGTTGCCAGCTGCTACCATGGCGGGTGCTCCGAACACGGGCGCGCAGATGAACTCGGCGCCCTTGTCCAGCACCGCCTTCGCGGCCGCTTCTGAAGCGCCGGGAGCTATGGTTGAGCACTCGACAAAGACTTTGCCCTCAAGTTTCTGCTGGGATGCGGTTGCGAAGATTTCCTCTACTGCCTGGTCGTTGGCGACACATGTGAAGATGATGTCGGCCTGCGCGATGGCGTCCCCAAGCGCCTCGACGACCTGGGTCTTACCGGCGGGCAGGCTCTGGCTCAGTTCCGTGGCCCGCTTGGTGGTGCGGTTGTAGATGAGGAGTGGTTTGTCAAGTTTGGACTTTTCCGCAATGTTTTTACACATACCCTGAGCTGGTGAGCTCGCATATCACAATAGGAACGGAGTTTTGCGACTCAAAACTCCGGGTACGACTCACCCTGCCGATGTTGCCGAGGCCGATCCAAAGGAGTGTCTGAGCCATTGTGAAGTGTGGTGTTTTGAAGATGACTGTGGTTGACAAGGATGGCTAGTAGTAGATGAGGTTGGAAAAGAATTATGCTATTGTAAAATTCAGTGGAATACAAGAAGTCAAGAGAGAAGTGTGTCATTAATGAGAATGCAATGTAAGAGAAATTTAATATAGTTGGTGACATGTAAGCGGCGGCATTAACATGCCAGCAAGCCCCTCAGGGTCTCGGTCAGTTGAGTTTGAAGAGCAAGGTGACGACAACGGCTTTGCCCGAGCGGGGTTGCTTCGGTTCATCATAGAGACCACAGCGGCACTTCCATCGGTAACTTGGGACAAACAATGGCCGCTAAGAAATTGGCTAGCATAGGAAGTGTATAGATAAGAGCATCTCGAGGTTAAGGGAACGGCAATATGCCAGTATTAACAAAGGCCAGGTAAGGCGGGTTGTCAAGTCACTTAGTTCTATTCTACGGCGTCTTAACAGTAGTTGAAGACGAATGATCAACTAACGGGCTTACAACTTTGCTCCACTGCATAGTACGCTTTACAACTTATTCGGCATCTTTTTTTCCACGCCAACTGAGCTCAGACGGCGGGAGCGCGTGCGGAGTTGAGCAAGGCAGTCCGGTCGATTAGTGTACATCTACGGCTGTTCCCGTCCTCGCAGCTGTGCCTTGGGGTGCCAAGCAGTGAGAGAGTCTTACTATACTAGAATGCCTGTACCTTTGTTAGTTGACGGCCGTTGGTGTAAGTCGTGCGAAGCTGCCGCTCATGAGGTTCTTTTTTGCCCCTCGTCACATGCGAGCCATTTTTTCAACATGTAAGCAATTGCATCGGCAGTGCGCGGTAAGAGATGAACCGCGCCAATTATTGAGGTCTTTTTTCGATTGGTGATTTGTCTTCTCTTACCTCGTCTGCTTGTCCGACAGCTCGCCTCGGTGCTCCGGTAATACTTGACGGTCGCCGATGGCGGTCCCCATGATGGAGACGTATCTGTTCTTATCGTCTTATCAGTACGCCCTTTGGTAGGTCACCTTGACTCACAAAGTGGGAATTTCTCGGTCGGGGGGACAGGGCGGGTTGCAGTTCGTGCTCTCCCGGCCTAAGCCAAGGTCCCTTTCCCTTCGTCACCGACTCTTAAACTCTGCCCGACATTGTTCCTGCAACTTCATTCAGACCGGCGCGATTCAGTGCTCAGACAGGTCCCAAGGACGATCCGGCAGTCAGTATCATGGCTGTCTGAAGGGATGGATCTGCTTTGACCCGCCCGTCTCTCACGACGCTGCTATTACGCTGTCCCTAATCGGCTGGTGACTTGATCACAGACACCAGCTTCTTTTATTGTCTTCACTTGCTTCAATATTATATCTGCTCTTGCTTCTATCCTTCACGAAGGAACGACAGGATTGTGTCAATCCGGACTTATTATCAAACGTCAAACTGCCTCGCCTTCTATTCGCTCATCACATTGCCACTGTAGGCCAACGAAGCACATCACGGGCATGCCCTACACTTCTCGCCGTTATCGGTAAGATGCGGTCTCCAGCGTTGAAGCAAGCAAGCAACCTGGTTGCAAGGGTATGCGTTCAAACTCTTAATTCCATCACGTCTTCAAATCGTCGTGCCCAGGCCTTACAAGCTTCATATTAGGCACCGTTCGCCCTCGACTCTTACAGCCCGCCCAATTGCAGACTTTACCACCGCCCGCGGTTAGGAGGCACGCGCCAAGAAGAAGCCTTACAAAGTGCCCTTTCAGCAGTCCGCCACTCATCCAGCAATCAGGCCCGCGAGAGGCAACGAGCTGAAGACAGAGTACTTATTGAACTCCCGCTCCGTTTCTTCTTTCAATCTCTGACATAAGCTGCAGGACTTTATTGTATCAGTCTTAGAGGCTTCGGCCACTCGTCGTGATGCCAAAGGCTACCTTCAAAAATATGCCCCTCAGTCCGGCGAGGATGGATCCAAAAAGCGCAAAGTTTCCAAGTCGCAAGAGGGACCTGACCAAACTTATTCATCCGTTCGAGTCATCAATCAGGCGCCCAAATTCATCCAAGGCACTGAGTTTAAGGCCGAAACCGCCATTCCTGAAGGCGAACCCATCAATTTGGCAATTGTCAAGATACGCCTTCCTCAGGATGTTGACGACGAGATGCTGAATGCTATCGCCAAAACCCTGACCCAACTTAGGAAATTGGGACTCGTGAGCCTTATTGTCCTCGATGGAGGGCAAATATCGTCCCGAAAGCTTCTTCGGGAGCAGTCATGGAGAGTCCAGCAAGCCATTGAGACATTTGGCGAGCCAGGGAGCATTCTGCTCGATCAGTGCATTGCCGAGGCTGAGTCGCAGACAGCGCAAACGAAGGGGTTCATGCCTTCGGGCGTTTATATCCAACACCCGCACCTTCTGCTGCGAGCTCTGCGAGACAATGCGATTGTTGTAGTACCTCCAGTCACCATGGCACACAACATGAAGAGTATCGACGTGGTGGACGCTGACGAAACCATCATTGCGCTGACCAAGTTTTTCTGTGGTCTTCAATTCAACGCCTCCGAAAGCCCCGTTGGAGCGCCTGACTCCAGTCTCAGCCCTGGTGCCAAGGTCGCCTCAGTCGAAAAGGTCATCATCCTAGACCCAGCTGGAGGCACACCTCTGTCGGATGCACATGATGATTCGTGCCATCGATACATCAACTTGGACCAGGAATTCGAGGGCATCATGTATGGCCTCACGCACCCTACAGGATCAGAAGCGCGGCGAGGTAAATACTCCGAGAGTGTGCGCCAGCTCCACGCCCGTAACCTCGACCTTTCAAAAAAGGTGCTTGCGATGTTGCCCTCGACTTCTTCTGCCATAATCAGCACCCCGTCTGCTGCAGCAAACAAGCCGATCCGGCAGTTTACAAGCGTCACAACACGTAACCGGCAAAACCCTTTGATTCACAACCTCCTAACAGACAAGCCAGTATTTTCATCGTCACTACCGCTTGACCGCGTCCGCTCTGGGAAAAAGGGTGACATGGCGTCCGGCGAGACCCATGTGGCAACTTTGGTCAAACGCGGCATGCCACTTACAGTCTATCCTGATCCCACAATCAGTGCCTGGGTGCCCCCACGGCCGGGCGGCCCTCGCTTGAGGCTCACAGACACCTGTATAGACATGCCACGACTAGTCAATCTCATTAACGACTCCTTCAACCGGGAATTGGACGTTGAACACTACTTGGAGCGTGTCAACGAGAACCTGGCCGGTATCATCATTGCAGGAGAGTACGAGGGTGGAGCAATTCTGACCTGGGAGAAGCCTTTCGGGCTGGATGAGGAGACTGCATACAAGACCGCTCGACTGGTTCCGTACTTGGATAAGTTTGCGGTTCTCAAGAGCCGCCAGGGAAGTGGCGGAGTTGCAGATGTGGTTTTCAACGCCATGGTCAGAGGCTGCTTCCCAGAAGGCGTCTGCTGGCGTAGCCGACAGGACAACCCCGTCAATAAGTGGTATTTTGAGAGATCTCTGGGCACATGGAAACTCAAGGACACTAACTGGACCATGTTCTGGACAACGCCACACCTCCCACTAAGCGACCCGAAGCTATTGGATTACGAGAACGTTTGTCGTTACATTGAACCATCTTGGGCAGACACAAAGCCGCCGGACTAAGACCTCCAGGAGTGGCTCTGAAGAGGAGTTCCCTGTGGCAGTATTACCATTGGAATGGGTGGGGGTCAGATGAAGCCAAATTCATAAAAAGAGAAATGAAAAACCCGAGATCAACGTTAATTTTTATGCGTGTCACACATGAATATTCTTAGCTGAGCCGTTGTGAATATCTATCCGTCGACGCCACTGGCTTACATGTGGGACTTAGTTGAAGGACGGTCATCAAGCAAGGTAGCTAGCTATTCTTTGAAAGTACGACAAAGGAAACGTGCATGTAAGCAAGGCCTATAGTTTCCACCTAGGACCAAGAAGCTACCCAGCTAGAATCTGCAGGACAAACTGCTGCTGGGTATTTCTAAGTAAGGTAAGGTAAGGGAAGGATGCATCCACCAACTACGAAGGTACAGTCACGACAGTGCCATCCAAAGATGCGTAAGTACGTACCGAAAGGTGTTCCATAAATCACGTGCGCTAGTGTGTGCCCATTCCCTGCTGGACCGATCCACCTGGCCAGCTGCCCCTGGGTAGCTTGTGACAGCATGCTAGAGGTTGCTGTGCAGCCAATTTAACATACTGGATACCTGTCTATCTTGCTTCAGGTCGCAGGCAGGCACGAGGCAGAACTCCCGCATCTACAACCCACCTCAACCCGTTCAACAGGCACTATCGTCAGTGCCGACTTTCCCGCAGCGACCGAGTTGTTTTCTTTTCCCACCTAAGTTTGTCCCATCAAACCACCACCAAGATGGATTTCAAGAATCTAGGCAAAAGCTTCACGTGCGTTGTCGCATATCCTTCATGTCAGCGGTCGCGAGTGCTGTATTCAGGCTGACGAATTCCCAACAATGCAGCTCCTTTGGGTCCTCGATCACCCCTTTCGCTTCCCGTACTTTCCAGTACACCAAGGAGCAGCTTGGCCAGGCCGAGGACAAGGTACTTTGATTTCTTTGTGCTAATCTGATCAGTCATTTAATTAAGCAAGAGCTAATCGCCTCGTCCTCCATAGACCCAGCTTCCTCCCGACTACATTGATCTCGAGAAGCGCGTCGATGCCCTCAAGCAGGTCCATCAGAAGATGCTGGCTGTGACGTGAGTTGTCGACGGAGAGGCCCCATAAGCCGAAAACCGACCACTAACACCGATGACCCGAAGCTCGCAATACTCGAACGAGGCCTACGATTACCCGCCCAACATTAAGGAGACCTTCCAAGATCTCGGTCGCACCGTCAGCGAGAAGGTTACTCTTCTTTCGTCCGCTGGTTCCCCGGCCGAGGCCCAGGCAGCCCTGACCGCTCCTCCTTCGGCGAAGCCTCAGCCCAAGACCTTCAACCATGCCATTGCCCGGGCCAGTCTGTCA